AATAAAGTTGTCAAATTACAAGAATAAAGTTGTAAAATTATGAGAATAAAGTTGTCAAATTACAAGAATAAAGTCTTAAAATTACGAGAATAAAGTTGTCAAATTACAAGAATAAAGTCGTAAAATTATGAGAATAAAGTCGTGAAATTATAAGGATACATTTTTAAAATTAGGAGAGTAAAGTCGTAATATTAGGAGAAAAAAGTCACAACGAGAATAGTCATAAAATTAATGAAGTCGTAATATTAAGAGAATAAAGTCCTAAAATTACGAGAAAAAAAAGTTGTATTTTATGACAACTCCTACAAGAAGCACTTTCTTCCCTAAAATTAAGAATATCAAGCATTATTTCTCGTAATTTTATGACTTTATTCTCGAAATAGAAGAAAAAAAAATCTCTAGCCTGGCCTTAATACTCCATCGTACATAATGATGCAGTTTTTGATGGAAAACAACAAAATTTATAGAAGTGAAAGTGATGCTCACCAAAAATAACCACTGTAAAAAGTTTAATACGTTATATAAGCTGCTTATAGAATAGTATAGAATAAAACATGGGCGTAGGTTTGCATAGGGACCAATAATTCTATTTGAATAACATGTTTATAGTTTACAATACAGTGTGGTTGCAGCAGCCGATTCTTTTCTCACGACTTGTATATTGAAGTTAATATTTAAAATGCTCAGTGTCAGTTCCTCTTATAGTCCCCAGGCCCATGTAAATGAACTGTTTTTCTTCCATACCATAAATCTATTTGCAGTCCCTTAAATATGTTATTTTGCTTTGTTTTACAATGCAGAGAATATTCGCATATCAGATAAAAATAACAAGCGTTTACGTCTGCTCTGTTTACCTCTGCACAATTCTATTTCTTCAAAAGAAAACATTAGATAAATACACATACAACAGACATATTTAGACTATATTTGGTTAAAAAGGCACGTATTTACCTTCACTGGTAAGTTAAAATGTAACCCTTTTCAAAGGGTTAAGTTGTCCCAATTTTACATTATTCTGAGCCACTGACGCTTCAAACATTGATAAAAAGCATCTTGTGTGTAGTGCTTATAAAATTTGTATAAATTTAGTTAAAAAATCCTGTTTTCTCTCTAAATGAAATGTGCCCTGATGCTCACGTCAAGCATAAAAAAACAGGAGCATGCATAATGCGTAGGACCAATGACATCAGATCAATTCAACTTAAGACCAATAGTGTCTCTACCAAAGTTGAGATCAAACCTACGCCATTGGAATAGAATACAATAGAAAATCCCTTTACTGTCCCACAATGGGGAAATTCTGGTGTTTAGAGCAGGAAAAAGATTATAGAAAAGATTGTCAAACAAAAGTGGACCTTTAAACGTGTAAGAATAAAATAATAAAAGAATAGTCTTTCTTTCTCCAAATATAATTTGTATGGTTCTGTATTACCCTATTAGTTGCTAAATGTCTCTACTACTGAGAATATTTTTTTGTCTTATTAGATGTTCAAGCACTACATCCAGACAGGGATTGACATAATTAACGCAGCTCCTCTAACAGACTCCTTTTTGGAGGGACTTCATAATCAGCTCCCTCCCAAGCTGAGAATCCAGGCAAAGCTGAACCTGCTGGACAATGAAATCAGGGAGAAATACCTGAAGGACATCCAAACTGCAATCTGTATAAAGTTCCCTTTTTTCTTCATATTACTTCTGAATTTTACAAACGTTAGCTGATCCCCTGAGATCCATACTTTGTGGAATAAACTGAATAAAAGATCGGATACATTTTTGTATGTATCCTTGATTTTATTCTAAAGAATTATTATTTTTGATACTGATATCTGTTTAGTAAATATTTTAATGTCTGCTCTCTTTGGCTGCAGTAACACAAGCACTCAGGAATCCTACTGAAAATGAGACGAGCAGCAAGAAGGAAAAACCATCTCACAGACTCGAGTAAGTCAACGAGGTTTATGTTTCCTTTGGAAGATGCTGGTGAATATTCTCAGGCATCCAGGTCAGAGTCATTCCAAAAAAGTGAAAAAACAATCCGCTGGACTTTGTTTCCAAGTTTGAAGATGTTTCACTTCCCATTCAGGAAGCTTTTTCAATTCATTACATTAACTGATTAAGGAACAAATGTTCCCATTTGCATAAATAATGATGTAAAAAACATAGTTTAAAAAAGAGTTTTAGAAGAAGTTTAAACACACTTGTAGGGACAAAAACCGTTTAGTGAGATACAACATTAATTTACCATTCATTACGATTTGACAAAAAGTATTGACATTGACAAAAAAATAATAATACAAATTTACATTGAAATTAATAAAAAATACAAAACAGTAACTTTACTTTCTATTACAACTAAGTTTCCTCTATAGATCGTAAAACTCATTATCGAAGAGCAATCCTTTAAAATATACTATATAAATATATAAAGTGTAAAATGTAATGTTATAATATGTTAAAATAAAACTTTGTGTTTATAATATTAATATTTAGTTGCAAAATATATAACTTTGTTTAGTCCTCGCAAGCCCAGCTGGTCTAAAACGTGACAGAAAACGGATGGATGGATGGATGGATGGATGGATG